GTCATAACCGTGTTCCTTTTCCGTAGCTCCACCGGCACCGGTCCGTTACGTAACAGTTGGAAAACGGTTAGCTCGAAACTTGTTAATTCGTTGGAATAGTCGATAATAAGCTCGTGATCGAATTTCTTATGAAAGTCTTTATGAATCAGTGATTTCGGATGCGCGTGCGCGTAGTCTTACAAATTCGTGAGCAGTAAACACCGTTTTGTGCTCGAAATTGCACATCATCATGAGCGTTCCCAATTTAACTGTTGACCAAATAACAGGTATGTTTTAAATTATCCCATATTAAGAGCTTTTTAAAAAAAATATTAAAAAATGCTAAAATTTTGTGTATCTAAATGTAGTGTATTTGTTTATGACACGGACTTGACACGTCTAGCAACTAAAAAAGGTATAAATCATATTTCGATGACTTTCTAGAATAGTGGCCTATCTCAAAAGCGTTTAATTTACCAAGAAGAAGATTTAAAAAACCTGTTTAACAGACGTGTCTGCGCCGCAATATTGACAAATCGTAGACCTTCTCAACGTTATCATTTGATTATTTTAACCAATGAAAGGCTCTATGATCCTTTTCTGAGCAAAGTTAAGCAAAAATACCAAAAAGGAAAGATTTTGGATTGGGCCCCTATTTTTGACAAGCAGCGATTTATTCAATAAGTAAATAAATACAAAACAATTAAAATAGAATACTCCCTAACACTTTTTGACCCGTTATGGATCCCGCCAATGCGGTCTAGGGACTTCACACTTTTTCAAGGATTGTGAACTTTCTTTGACGCGCTGGTTTCATAACGAAATTTACTTTTATTATTTATATTTATTTTTATACATGCCGTCGCCCTCTCAATCAAGAAGTAACACTTCTTCACTAGCCTACGACCGTTTTCAATATGGTATTATAGTTACTTATACGCATATTCATCACGGGCGTTCGTAACACCAATCCGTCTTATACTGGCATCAGCTATCACTCGTATCTTGTTCCCGCATCGGCCTATGCAATCATAAAAAGAAATGCTTTGCAAACATTGCTTGATCTCTCTGACATAGACGTATGAGGTCGTTGAAATTTATATTATTTCGTTTCGCGTTTAATTAAGCGAATATATATACTCTACCGCTGCATCATACACACGCAGGTATTTGCAACGCACGCCTTTTAATTAAAATGTGCATTTATTTATTTGAGTCTTAGGGAGTCACCATACTTATCGCCACGGATTCGCTTTAATCCGGTCAGGACTCCGATTCAGAACTCTTCGATATTTTAATCGAATCGTTCGATTGGATATCGTTCTCAAATCGAAGGGCGCTTTTCGAGATATTCAGTTAAACGTTCGATCCAGTCTCGGATACGATATCGTTATCCAACAACGTTTACGGAGTTAGGCAGTGAAACAGATTATAACGACTTCTTTAATGTAGATTTAATGACTTTAAAAGCCTAAAATATAGGAATGCAGTAGTGTTGCATTGAAATAAATTAATAAAATTGAACAAAATCCAGACTTTATTTAAAATAATAAGAGATTGCCATATTAATTTTAGCTTTGTAAACAATAGGACGTTCGGAAACTTTCATTCGATAACTGTGTTCTGAATAGCGTTTGTAGCCTTCGCCGGTCGAGAAGTTCGAGTAATCGTACAGGAGTAAGGTCATTTTGGTTCGGTGTCGAGTACGACAGTTTCACGTTCGATTCGCGTGTTGTGAATAAAAATGAAAAGACATCGTACCATATCAAATCGAATCGGTCGACAACTGAGTTATCGTAAGGTTCTGAATCGACCCCCAGATCATGAAGGACATAAGTCCGTGGTGCGTTCGTCGATCCGAGCGGAAGAAATACGTGCAACGTCTTTTTCGCCCTTATTGCATAGACCTAAAGGTTTTTCTGACCGGCTCAAGACGATTCCGTGTAAATAAATGTGGTGAGTCCCTTACAGTGCATACACTAATAATATTATTTATAAACGTAACATTTGTGTTTCTGTTTATATACTTATAAAAAATAAGTAAAATGAATCCATCTTTTAATAATTAAGTTTTATATTTATATGTACTTACTAAAGTGACCAATTGAGTTAACGTAGACGATAGACATCGGCTTATTTTTACAATGGTTTTACGGTGGATATTTACTGACCGACTACGGAATTAAGCAAATTATTCTGCATTAATATATCTCACGTGTAACCAAATACTGTCGTAACTCAAAAATGATAAAATTGAAAAAAACCCAATTCATAGTTCAAAAAATTACTGAGTGGAGCCAATAATTTATACTCTCGTTTGTAAATGGATAACTAATAATAAATAATAAATAAAAACAATTCTTTTATTCACATTTTAAATCGTTTTCTCTCAATTCCATAAATTTTCTGGTACGACAGTATTTGGATAAAACCAAAGCTGCAGACAATCGAATAACATTTTGTTGAACTGTTATAATATTTTGCCAATTAAACATTTGCCAACATGGACTGTTACTTGTGCAAAGTAATTTACGATTGCAATGAACGTTTCCTGTGAAACGTGTATACAATATTTAGTATTATTGTTATCAGGTAAATAGTGGCAATGGAAAACATTTTACGATAAACTTTTATACTCAAGCCAATATTTCAAAATATGTATTCAATCTTCTTCTTAGCGTGTCGACTCCGACGTTTACACACAAATCAAAATTGTCACCAGGTGTAGGGAGTAGCAGGCACACGCAGGTCACGACAAAATATATGCCACTGCCTGGGGAGAGATACCACACAGACGTGAGCTCTCCGAGCTGTAATCCCTCCTGTGCATGCTCTCCTTGATTCGGCCCACTTGGGTCCATAACCTATTTAGAGACTTCCAAATTTGCCGAGATACATCATGCCCAGGAAGGAGTGCTCCGGCAACGGAATGAGGATGCCGTGGGGTATCTCTCCTTCTAGAGATTTATTCGGACTTGGTCAGTGTTCCCTTACACAGGGAATATTTGTTTAGTTAAATTATGGCAACTCTTTTGAAATATGTGCAATGTAATAATGCAATGTAAATAAACTTAATAGCACAGTAGATAGAGCTCTTTGTGAAAGAGTTCCCTCCAGTGAAGTACTGCCTCCTGACCTTTTTCTGCCGCCAAACAGTAATGTGAGCATTACTGCGTTTAGAAGGGTGAGCCTATAAATTCACCCGCTCCCTTACTTACCCTTCAAAACTACAACGCAGTGGGTACTGGTGAAATTACGGGCAATGCCCCTAATATCTTTGCGATTTAAAACCCTGAGTGGCACTGGTACTGTTATGGATAGGCGTTTCCCTTACCACCGCCTGGCACGTCGTTTTCGTCCTTTTCCTAGGTCCAATCTGTCACACCAAAATTCATCAAAATTGATTCCGCTGTTTAGGCGTAAAACCATAGTAGACAGAGTTACTTTCGTATTTATAATATTAGTTTGAATGTCTGTAAATACGATGTACTAGAATCTTTTTCTAAACCTGGGTTTTTCGTTGCAAACTCTTTCAAACTACTTGTTTTTAATCTTAATTAATTAATGTAATTATATGAAATATGTTGGTGTTGTCAGCTTGAATTGAGCTTTTTATCAATAATTGCCAAGACTCCTAAAATGTTATGGGTAAAACGTGTTTCTTTTTCATAATATGTTTTCAACACCACATTCATCTTATACACAGCAGGCATGTGAAAGTAAATCATTGGCACAATAAAAATAAAGCATTAAGTATGTAACCACAATAAAACATGAGAAGACAAAATAAACGAGCCACTAAAAGGCTCGGCTCCCATATTCCCATCAAAAATGTTTTACCGTTATCAAAACATGTCGTGGGCTAAACTCTCCATGCACTTGTCCGCATGTTGCCAGTGGCAGATAACATATACAAATAATATATTAAAATAAAGGTAAAACCAATGAAAAATTGCCTTTACGTACTTTGCTACTTACACTGGACATATACATATTTAAGATCGTGTTCGTAGATGCGGCATATAATTGCTTACAAGTCTCTGACCAGACTGTGACAGGGTAATTTCTAGTATGTTGTCCATATATTAAACATAATAGAACTTCTTTAAAACCGAACTGGTTAATCACGGCATTATTTTGTTTTCTTATTACTAATTGACCACGAAAAATGTTTCTTCTATTTAGGTTATGTCAAACAGTTGCTTAAATTTACCATCTCGAAACATGCATTGTTACGAAAATTATTTAACTACATCTAATGAACTTTCTCAGATTATCTTCGCACATCAACAACTTAATATGTTTCTAGCTGGTTTTCTCTCCATTATTTAGACATTTGTAGACGTCAGGCCTACAATGGGACTGATTGGCCCTTTGCCCCACACAGTGCTTAGCCCGCAACGTAATACGTATCACCAGCATAATGTGAACCCTCATTTACCGTATACGTTATGCAACATTTCCACTATATTTTTCTAAGGGCCCTTGTATCTACTTATTTGGTCGTAATGTATTAATATTTATTAGGAGAAAGGCATTCTGTTGTGACTATTGTAATTTAGCCCTTTTCGGTTTTTGCCGTGTCTTACGCAATTGAATTTTAATAAAGAGAATCTTTTGTTTTGGCTATTTGTATACATTTGAAGGGATTACGTTTTCTTGTTTTGACAGGCGTAGATTTTTTCCAACTTCTAAGCTTGCGTAACTTTTTAAAGAAATTTTCCTCTTTGTCGTTAATCTACTGCCTTGTGACTTTGACCTTTCTTCAAAATATGCAGGAAGTTGAAAAAAATTATTCGGATTTCATTCATTCATAGAAGGAAAAAATCAGTACACTTTTGCGAGGGTAATTCAATATTTTAAAACGGCGGCGGCTATTCTTTGATGACAGGTTAAAATATGAAGCGATTAACATCCTTTGTGTAATTTAGCCTTAATTAGTTTTTTGTCACTTAGCCCTGAGCTGGAAAAAGCTTTGATAAAGTAAGCTCAACTTGAACTTTGTAATTTTTTTGTTGCAGAAATCGAAGCGGCAGAGGCTTGCAAATGGCTACGTGCTGCCGGTTTCCCGCAATACGCCCAGATGTACGAGGGTGAGTGTGTCTTATTTACATAATTATAACTTTTTTATAAAAAAAATATCAACTTCGAAAGTTTGTGAAATTACATCCATTTGCCAAGTTTAATGGGAAATGGGTGAACTCCAATAAAGAGGTGGAAAATTTTCTTCAAATTTATATAGGACCGCTACTGAGATGCCCCCTTTCCAACAAAAAAGAATCGTAAGTCATCGCGTAACATATACACAATACAATCAAATTGAGAACCTCGGATCCTTTTTTAAGTCGGTTATAAATACAATTACAGTCTGTACACGTGGACATTTATTTAGGTGTAATTGCTTAGTAGTCAACTGATGGTCTATCGGTGGACAACGTTGGTGTTTGTAAATATAATGGTACATCGTACATCGCATCGTAAGGGTACATCGTATTCTTAGGTTTTAGCTGTTGTTACACACTGGGAATCGGACCAAAATCGCGTATATTTGTTGTATTAAAGAAACCAACATTTCGGGCCAGTTTTTAATAGTCTTAATGTATTAGAGGGCTTATTGTCGAGAAAATATGCCACCTTCATAGGAATACAATAGCAGTAATAAATAGCAAATCAAAGACGCTACGTACAAATCATTACATAAGTACTATTCATCTACAATACCTTATACCTTTACTTATACCTTTTAGGGCCATTGACAGGTCCCATGATCAAGCCTGATGTTTAACTATGGACATGACTCTACCATGTCAGTCAATCGTGACCATGGGAGCTGTAAAGGGCGGGAAAAATTGATTTATTTGAAAAAACAAACATACGCGGTTCTGATCCAAAAAATATTGATCATTTTTAGAAGGGCGGAAACCTTACCTCGTAGAATGATAATCATAGTAAACAGAGAAAGCGCAAGAGGTCTTTCAAGAGCAAAGGGAGAGTTTATGACATAGGTTCCCAAACTTATTTGCTCACCGCTTAAGGCAAGATAAAAAAAATGCAACGCCCACCACCACAAAAAATAATTGAAAAGACGTACTTTTTATATTAACTTAATACAAAAAATCACAAAGAAACAAAGTTATATTAACACTGGACAGGTAAAAGGTTTAACGTGCATTTGGAAAATATTACAGGAGAGCGATTTAGAGTAATTTTAATAACAAAAACAAATCGTAACTCCAATTTTATTTGTTATATGGGAAAGCTGAAACTTTCTAGTGTTTCCCTATAAAAAATAAAATTTAAAATATGATTTAAAAAAAAAATACTTTAATCCCTTGTGTAATATTTCCCAAGTGCATGTTAGACGTTTTACATTTCCAGACTCGATATACATATGTAGTGTTTTTATTCACATAATTTAGGTTTTTTTTCGAATGCGGCAGTTCTCCTCGGACGGCATCAACGCCCCCCAATTTGATTCCGAGGCCCTACCGAGCCTAGGACTCTTCAGCGCCCACTGCGGGGCGGTAAGGACCACTTTGGGAAACTATGGTCAATACGGTCTATAGTCAATACCTATCCCAGTGGGCGATGGGCGTGATAATGTTTGTAAATCACTTTTGATCGATTTTTGATAGGGTTCAATTAATGAAAATTCTTGTTATATTTATTTTAGTAGCAGTAGAGCTCCTTATGAAAGAATTCGTCCAGGGCAGAACTGCTACCTTATCTTTTTCTGCGGCCAAGCAGAAAAGTGACCATTACTGCGTTCCGACTTTGAAGGGTAACGATATACAAGCACATGAGATTTGTCAACTTGTCTCAGGATGATGGACACTGTGGCAGTACATCTCAGATCATATTCTCATACTCATATATATCATAAAAATGGGAATAAAGTATTAAAATAGTAATACAAATATTACAAATGCATATCAGCAATAAGATTTTTATATATCTAAATCATTCCACTTCTTCTTACATAGGTAATAGGTAGAGCGACTAAGGGAGAATAATATTCTCATATTATATATTCTCATATTATGTCCAAAGCACTACAATTACATTATAGGCTCTACACATGCGGAAAACAAGAGAAAAAGTTTTTTGGGTACCGCCGATCTTAAATGAGACGTAGCATAAGGGTTCACTGGAGTCCATTTCATAATTAACATCTCTGTTACTAACGTCAATGTGGAATAGTTCAGTACTATACATCTGGACTGGAGAGGGCCTATCCTAAAATATTTGAGTCTTGCCTCGTAAGTGTCCAATTCATAAATCAAATTCGTGCGATTGGTCAGATTCACTTACGTACCATTGCATTCTTTGACTTGTAAACACAATAGGAACGTTTAAAATAAATACTCAAATTCATTTAAAACAATTACTCCTAGCATTTGTTCTTGTATTTTATCTAAAATGGAAATTCGAACTTTAGACGGAATTCTTCCTGCAAGAACGTCTACAGCTATCCGTACTTAATAATATTTCTCGTACGAGTGCTTCCAAGAACTGCGTCATAGCCAGGACTCGGTCCAGAATAATGCAATCCTGACCTGTCCCAACGAATACATTAATCATAACGTGCGTTTCGCTCTACTTACAGAGTGTTCCTTAAACACACGCGTGTAGATCTTTAGACGCAGCGTGCACTTCGTACATTAAGTTGTATAAATAAAAATGTACAGCTTAGAGCATTCCTTAATGAAAATAACAAATTTAAAAATAAAAATAACAATTGATAATTATTTTAAGCATTGTTATCATACATTGATCACTCTGTATTATTGAAATGAATAACAATGCTCAGCTGCGTAGATGGAGCCAAATCCCTCTCAATTGACCGCTATTCTTAAAGTTTATTAAAGACAGACTAGAATAGACCTTCCTGTGCTCCAAAATCTTGGTTTTAAGGAACTTAAATAACCTAAAATAATAACAATTGGGTGATGAAATCATAAAAACGACACGACCAAACACATTTTATCTCTATTCATGTTTAGAGTCCTATTTTTATCACATTTTTTAAAATAGTTTGTATTTTTGCTAGAGTCTGCTAGCTTCCTTTAACAATAGCATCTTTTTCATTAGTGTCTTCAATACCATGCGGCGGAATACTATTCATCTAGCCTTAGTCCCAATTAAAACTTATTCTTCTCAATCTGGACTTTGAATAGACTTCATAGCGGATACAGTGTATTCATGAAAACGTACAATACGACGTCAGTATTGCAATATAGAACTTATGCGCTGGGAATTCTCTGTTTTAATAATAGTATGACCTTACGTCCCACATTGAAGAGGTTTCTGAGTAACTTCACTGGATTGAAGTTAATACGATCGCCTACGGCAAATTCAATGTGCACTGGGAATTTCTTACATGCTGCTAAAGGAAACTGAGAATGGATATTAACAAAATGAAATATATTGCTTTTAGATCTTGATAAAGTGGTGATATCGTTCAAATTTAAACACAAATAATCTCTATTTCATGTAAGTATAGTACATTTGAAATCGTCATATTATTCAACTTGACTACTCATTCGTAAGGCAGATTCCCCTGAGAAGAATAAGAAACAAAAGCTAGGCAACCGCTCTTTATAAATAATAATTTGCACAAATTAATCATTTTCAATATTTATTTCAAATATAATAGATCAACATAATCTGCAAGAGCTAAGCGGGTCACTGCCATGAATTTTTGAAGCTGTATTTCAGTTTAATGTTTTTGTTTTACTACAGTTTTAATAACTAGGTACATTTTGAATATCAACCTGAATCTTATTATAAAAGGCATGATTCGGGAACAAGACGATTGTACAACTCATACTTGTTATTTAATATCATGGCATAGCCACTCCAATACTTCCTCCGTCGATGACAATGTAAAGTAAATTATCCTTTAATAGGGCTAAAGGATCAGACGTGCGCAGTCACTCTTTCTTATTTATGAGGAAAACATTCTATTATGCGGTCGAATATGGACGTTAAATGTATAGATGTATGAGGGATGATGCATGAGCCTTTTGGGTCAAGAGATTCCAAAGCTAGTTTTGGTTTGGGTTAGTTACAAAGCACTGATGGCTTGAATAGCAGCCTATCTCGAAAGCCCTAATTTCACCGTACATAAAAAACATCCGCGCAAAATCGACGAATTATACTGTAATGTTTATTTTAGCCAATAAAAACTCGAATTTTAAAATCCATATTTAGTTTTAGGAATTTTGTTCCAGAGAACCTGCCAGTCATTATATAACGTTATTGTAATTGTTGTAAAATGTACAGTAGAAATGACACATATTTATTAAAAGTACTACTAACAATGCTTTTACCATGTCACGCAACATTGCCTTACATTATTGGCAATATAATTTTAAATACAGAATATGTGTAATAATTAGTGGTCAATCAGCCCGTTGCACCAAGTACCAAGTACCAAGTAATTAGTGGTCAGTTAAGCGCCTAATGGTTAAGCTACATGCCTGTCCATAACAGTTGCAGTGCCACTCAGAGCTTTAAATCGCAAATATTTAAGTATAAAGTATTAAATAATAATAATAATATGCCAGACAACCGCATCAATTGCCTAGTCTCAAACTAATTCCCTGTACTATACGTAACAGAACAACGGAATTCCTACTGGAGCACGTTCTAATACACCCATCCCAGAACGAATTTAGAAAGTTTCATTTCTCAAATTGGTCCTACCTGGAATTGAACCCGGAACTGGGTGAGGCCCAGCGCCCACCGTAAATCCGTTGGTCCACCACGATCGTCAAAATTGAAGGAAATATAACTCGAATGTAAACTAGCTCTAAGTTCTATGCCTTTAAGATTCCTCGTTCTATCAAAATTCGTTATGTGCCTGTAGGTTGTGTAGAGATTGCATATTAATCTCTTTTATCTTCTGGCGCTTATAGTACTTAGCTTGCAACAACGAGACCTAGCTATAAATCATCTCACTAAAGTAAAACTCACAAACGAAAAATATCCCATTTAAATAAGAATCACGGTTGATGAGCCACAAAGCTACAGATTTACTGACACAAACACTGACACCGCGACAAACACACATGTTTAAAATATAAAAATC